GTCCTTCCATTCCATCCTGGAGGAGTTCCAGATCAAGCGGCACGACCTGCTGGACTTCAATAACAACCGGTTCGACAGGGACTACGTCGACTTCAACGTTCGAATCTCAGAGCTCGAGTCCAATCTGAGGACCGCGAGTGCGGGAGCGCGCGCGCCCGCCGGGAGAGAGACAGAGAGAAAGGGAGGAAAGTGATGACGATGATGCTGCTGTTGATGATGATGACGACGATGACGATGCGTATGAAGATGACGACGCTACTGCTGCTGCTGCTGCTGCTGCTGATAATGATGATGATGCTGATGCTGATAATGATGATGCTGATGATAATGATGATGATGGTGCGGCTGCTGATGATGATGTCATCTTTGATGGCTATGCTGATGATGCTGGTGTTTACGATCCAGATCATGATGATTATGATGATGATGCTGATGCTGATTATTATTACGATGATGCTGATGATGCTGACGATGCTACTGATCAGTGCGATGAGAACGAGGACGACGACAACGATGATGATGGTGATGCTGGTGATAAGAAGGTGATGATGCTGCTGTTGTTTTTGATTATGATGCTGATGATGCTGATGCTGACGATGCTAATGCTACTGATGACGATGGTGATGCTGGTGATGATGATGCTGTTGATGATGATGCTGATGCTGATGCTGCTGATGCTGATGATGCTGATGCCGCTCATGATGATGATGATGATGATGATGATGATGATGATGATGATGATGATGATTCTGACGATCATGATGATGGTGGTGGAGGTGATTGTGATGGTGATGGTGTTTGTGCTAATTTGGGTGATGACGACGGCGAAGACGACGATGATGGTGACGACGATGACGATGATGATGATGATGATGAGGATGAGGATGAGGATGATGATGATGATGATGATGATGATGATGATGATGATGATGATGATGATGATGATGATGATGATGATGATGATGGTGGTGGTGGTGGTGGTGGTGGTGATGGTGATGCTGCTGCTGCTGATGATGATGATGCTGATGATGATGATGATGATGATGATGCTCATGATGACGATGACGAGGATGCTCATGATTCCGAGGATGACGATGACAACGATGATCCAGATGAGGATGACGAGCATACGGACGCCAATTGCCGTGAATACGATGGCGTTGGTGGTGATGAGGTTCTTGCTGCCCATGGTGAGGCGGATGATGGTGAGGATGGTGATGCTGCTGCTGCTGACGACGATGACGATGACGATGACGAAGATGCTGATGTTGATGATGACGATGACGATGACGATGATGATGATGATGCTGATGATGATGATGCTGATGATGATGATGCTGCTGCTGATGATGAGGATAAGGAGGAGGAGGATGACGAGGAGGAGGACGCTGCTGCTGATGATGATGGTGGTGGAGGTGGTGGTGATGGTGGTGATGATGATGATGATGATGTTGATGATGATGACGACGACGAGGATGACGAAGACGAGGAGCAGGAGGAGGAGGAGAAGGAGGAGGAGCAGGGAGGGAGGGAGTAGGGAGTAGGGAGGAGGGAGGAGGAGGGAGGAGGGAGGAGGGGGGAGGGGAGGCGGGAGCGGGAGGCGGGAGGAGGGAGGAGGAGGAGGAGGAGGAGGAGGGGGAGGAGGAGGAGGAGGAGGAGGAGGAGGAGGAGGAGGAGGAGGAGGAGGAGGAGGGAAGATGAGCACGGAGGAGGGAGGACGAGGAGGATGACGGGGCTCAGGAGGGCGAGAGAAGGAGGATGTAGAGGAGGACGCGGAGAAGGAGGAAGAGGAGACAAGTATTTAGAAGGAGCTACATATGATGAGGATGAGGTGTGATGACAAATGTAAACCCAAGGCGCACCAGCGATGCTGCAATACACCCCCCATCCAAGTTCCTCGTTCATAGGTCCCTACAATATTTACCATAACGCCACCCCAGGGAGTTCAACGCTGCGGGGCAACGATGCTGTTACGTCCTGACGTCCTAAGCCGTGCCAGAGCAACATTCTGGGGACTTCAGCCGCACGAATGTCTCAAGCTGTCGCACATAAAAAACAAAATGCGCGGCACTGAGGCGAGAGCCACATGTTGAAAACGGCCCGCCCTGCATCCGCTAAACTGTTGCAGACCTTGAAGACAGAGTGTGCGTGGCACCCAGCTGATAACCTCGTTTTGAAAACGGCCCGCCCCGCATCCGTGAAACCGTTGCAGACCTCGAGGGCGACTTTGCGCGGCACTTCGAGGGCGATACCCCGTTTTTTTTACAGCGACCCGCTCTCCGTCCGTGGAGCGGTGGCAGAGTCTCGAGACGAGCCTGCGCGGCGCAGACGCGATGGCCACCTCTTGAACACGGGCCGCCCTGCGTCCGTGAAGCGGTTGTAACTTCTGGGCTTCGGGGTCGTGAGCGGTGAAGATGTCTCAGGCGAAGCGCCCGGCCCGTCCTGCCGACACGTCTGAGGGCGGGGCAGGGAGGATTCACATCTCCAAAGGAAAAAACGGCTGGAGGATGACGGGGAGGGACGAGGAGTTGAAGTGAGGTGGAACACGGGGGGGACGAGGAGGACGAGGAGGTGGAGGATGATGCCTCGCCGCCAGGACGTTCATCAACAGCTCGTTCGAGTCGATCTCCTCGATCGAGTCGTCCCTGAATCTGTTGAAGAAGTTCCAGACGATCCTTCAGCGCCAGAGCCTGGTGCCTCTTCTCATTTTCTCCTCCCTTCTCCTCCCCCTCTCGCCCCCCCTTCCCCCCCCCTACCCCCTTTCCCCCCCCTCCCCCCTTCCCTCCCTTCCCCCCCTCCCCTACCCCCTCACCCGCGTCCCTCTCCCTCCCCCTTTTAGCCCACTTTCCATCCTGCCCCTCAATCCTCCTCTCCTCCTTCCTCCTCCTCCTCCTCCTCCTTCCTGTTTCTCTCCTCCTCCTCCTCCTCCTCAACCTCCTTCTCGTCTGCTTCCTCTCCCTCCTTCCTCTTTCATATTCCTCCTCCCCTCAACTTCCCCTCCCTCCTCCCCCTTCTTCTTCCTCCTCCCATACTCCTTGCCCTCGTCCCCTCAACTGCAGCATCGAGCGTCATCTCCTCCATCTTCTCCTCCGGGCACCCCTTCGACCTCCTCCTCGTCTTCCTGGCCCTGCAGACCGAGCGCGCCGGCGGACACCTCGCGCTTGGGTCGCGCCCGGCGGCCGCGCCTCGCTCGCTCCAGCACCTGCACTGATCTCCTCCTCCTCCTCCTCCTCGTCCTCCTTCTCTTCTCCTCCTCCTCCTCCTCCTCTCTCCTCCTCCTCCTCCTCCCCTCTCCTCCTCCTCCTCCTCCTCCTCCTCCTCCTCCTCCTCCTCCTCTCCTCCTCCCCCTCCTCCTCCTCCTCCTCCTCCTCCTCCGCCTCCTCCTCCTCCTCCCTCCTCCTCCTCCTCCTCCTCCTCCTTCCTCCTCCTTCCTCCTCCTTCCCTGAGGCAGCGCAACGCGTACCATGCTCAAGACGTCTGTGTCAGCACGCGATGCGTGCTGGCCCACGCTTCTTGGCGAGCGTGTCGGGCCAGACCTCTGTTTTTTCAGCCTGCGTGTCGAGCTCCAAGTCAACGCGCTTCGGGTTGCCGGTCGCGCATCTGGGCAGCTACAGTGGGAGCTCATGCCAAGCACCCCGCTTGCCTCTAGGGTGCCCTGGGTTTCTTGGGTTTCGACGGTTCTGCGATGGAAAGCGTGACGCTCCCACACCGACAATCACTGGACGCCCTGGGGTCTCAGGGCTGGGTTTCTTGTGGAAGGCTTCTCGTGGTCGAGCTCCTGTTGCACATCCGTCTGGCACCCCTGCGGCTCCGGCTGCGCCGCTGCCTCCCAAGCGCGCCAGGCCCGTGCTACATATCTCAGGAGGGAAAAAACACACAGACACAATTCATCGTCGATTCCCCAGAAAAGACGGGAAAATATGGGACGTGGGGGGGAAGACAGAAACCCCGAAAATATGGGAAAATATGGGGAATCCTTTTATTTGTGTGTATTTATTTGTGTGTCCCAGGGCCCCTTCAATATCGCCGAGGGCTGCGCGGCTCCGAGGAGGCAGCGCCGGGCGCCCGGCGGTGCGAGGCGGAGGCGCTCCGCAGCCGGCCGCGGCGGAGCGCCTCGGCCCCTCACAGCGCGTTGGCCGCGGCGGGTGGGTCGTGGTCGTCGTCGTCGTCGTCGTCGTCGTCGTCGTCGTCGTCGTCGTCGTGGTCGTGGTCGTGGTCGTGGTCGTGGTCGTGGTCGTGGTCGTGGTCGTGGTCGTGGTCGTGGTCGTGGTCGTGGTCGTCGTCGTCGTCGTCGTGGTCGTCGTCGTCGTCGTCGTCGTCGTCGTCGTCGTCGTCGTCGGTGCGCGCGCGTCCCGCTCCCGTGGAGCGGAGCGGCGCAGAGGGAGGACCGCCGGCCATGCCGACTGCCAGGCCCAGACTCGGTGCATGTGCCCTCCTGGCCTGGCCATCTCGCGTAAGACCCGCTTTTGATCGTCGCTCACCTGTGTCCTCCACCCCCTGCTTCCCCCCCCCCCCCCTGCGGCCGCCCGCTGCGTTCCTCTTTCTTCTCCTGCATGCTGGCCAATTCGCTACAACGGTGCCCCCGTTTAGTCAGCTTCTTCCGCCAGCGCAGTCGACCCCTGCCTAGCCGCCGACGCAAAAATGTGTCCTCCGCCCCCCAGGGAGAGAATTTCTCCGACGGTAGGACCCTGGACCCCGCATGATAATCTATCTAGATTGTCCTTCGCTCTTTCCTCTTCGCCCTGGGCGAAGCCCCCCGTCTCGCCCTCTGTTGCGCCTCCTCCTCATCCTCCTTGTCTTCCTCGTCCTCCGTCTCCTCCTCCTGCTCGCCCCCCTTGTTCAATTTCTGCTCTTCCTCTTCCTCCTCCTCCTCTTCCTCCACCTCCTCCTCCTTCTCCCCCCCTCATCTCCATCCCGCCTGTTCTCTTCATGCACGGCCTCAGCTGGTCTCTGCTGCTCTCTGCTGGTCTCTGGTGCTTTCTTCTGCTCTGTGACGCTTTCTACTGATGGCATATGCCGTGTATCGAAATGGGGGCCGCATAGGGAGGGGGCTCCCGCCTGAGACTTCTTTGCGACTCATTCACAGACGCGGGAGGAACGCCTCGAATATGCCCCTCTGGGGTGCTCAAGTGCTATGCCTGGTGGAGTTTGCCGATGATCCGCTCGGATTGCCGACATGAAGGGCGGGCCCCATAGGGAGTGGACTCCCGCCTGACACTTCTTCGCTATCCACTCACCGACGAAGCCCCCGCGTGAGACATCCTCCGTATTCAATCCAGAAGAGCCGAAAGGTCACGACAGCTTCAGGTTTCTGATGACCCGCTCGGATTACCAACATGCAGTGCGGACCCACTTGGGCAGGGGGCTCCCGCCTGAGATTTCCTCGCAATTCACTCGCAGCTGACGAAGCTCCCGCCAGAGACTTCCTCCATATTCAGCCCAGAAGTGCTGAAACATGACGACAGTTTCATTTTTCCGATGACCCGCTCGGATTGCCAACATGGACCCCATAGGGCGGGGGCTCCCACTTGAGACGTCCGCGCAATTCACTCACAGACGAAGCTCCCGTCGGAGATTTCCTCCGTATTAAATCAAGAGGAACCGCAAAGTGACGACAGTTGAAAACTTCCAATGACCCGCTCGGATTGCCAACGTGACATGCGTATCCCATAGGGAGGGGGCTCCTGCCGGTGACTTCCTCACGATTCATTTACAGACGAAGCTCCCGCTGGAGACTTTCTCCATATTCAATCAATCCAGAGGAGCCGAAAAGTGACGACAGGTACAAGTTTCCGATGGCCCGATCGGATCACCAACATCACATGCAGATGCCATAGGGAGGGGGCTACCGTCTGTGACTTCCTCACCATTCACTCACAAACGAAGCTCCCACCGGAGACTTCCTCCATATTCAGCCCAGAAGCGCCGAAAAATGACGACAGTTACAGGGTTCCGATGACCCTCTCGGATTATCCACAGGCAGTGCGGACCCCCTGGGCAGGGGGCTCCCGCCTGAGATTTCCTAGCAATTCACTCACAGACGAAGCTCCCGCTGGAGACTTCCTTCATATTCAATCCAGAGGAGCCGAAAAGTGACGACAGTTACAGGGCTCGGATGACCCGCTGGGATTAAAAACGTGAGGTGTGGGACCCATAAGCAGGGCCCCCCCTTTGAGATTTCTTCGCAATTCACTCACAGACGAAGCTCCCGCTGGAGACTGCCTCCATATTCAATCCAGAGGAGCCGAAAATTGACGACAGTTACAGGGTTCGGATGACCTGCTGGGATTAATAACATAAGGTGTGGGACCCGTAAGCAGGGGGCTCCCCCCTATAAGATTTCTTCGCAATTCACTTACAGACGAAGCTCCCGCTGGAGACTGCCTCCATAGTCAATCCAGAGGAGCCGAAAATTGACGACAGTTACAAGTTTCCGATGACCCGCTGGGATAATATTACCCTGGCGACGTACCCAACCCCTGCGCAAAAGAGGGGCGCAAATAGTTTAGGATATTTTATAAAAGGGGGCGATGACGGAGCGAGGGTTACATATGTCTGCAGACGGAATTCGGGAGACTCGCAGGACACCGGCTACAGGAAAAGGGCTTGATAAAGCTGATGAGTTACAATTCCTGAGCACTCCTAGCCACTTCGAAAACGGTGATCACAGCAGGCCTCGAAAGTGGCGACAGTTTCACAGATCGCAGCCCCGCAGGGATGGCGAGGTCTAATTTGGGTCCGCGCGTGGCGTCACTGTGCTGGGCCCCCCAGCAGGCCTCGAAAGTGGCGACAGTTTCACAGATCGCAGCCCCCAAGGGATGGCGAGGTCTCGTTTGAATATGCCCGTGGCGTAACTGTGCAGGGCCCCCCAGCAGGCCTCGAAAGTGGCGACAGTTTCACAGATCGCAGCCCCCCAGGGATGGCGAGGTCTAATTTGAATCTGCGCGTGGCCCTCACTGTGCTGGGCCCCCCAGCAGGCCTCGAAAGTGGCGACAGTTTCACAGATCGCAGCCCCCCAGGGATGGCGAGGTCTAATTTGAATCCGCCCGTGGCGTCACTGTGCTGGGCCCCCCAGCAGGCCTCGAAAGTGGCGACAGTTTCACAGATCGCAGCCCCCAAGGGATGGCGAGGTCTCGTTTGAATATGCCCGTGGCGTAACTGTGCAGGGCCCCCCAGCAGGCCTCGAAAGTGGCGACAGTTTCACAGATCGCAGCCCCCCAGGGATGGCGAGGTCTAATTTGAATCTGCCCGTGGCGTCACTGTGCTGGGCCCCCCAGCAGGCTTCGAAAATGGCGACAGTTTCACAGATCGCAGCCCCCCCAGGGATGGCGAGGTCTAATTTGAATCTGCGCGTGCCCTCACTGTGCTGGGCCCCCCAGCAGGCCTCGAAACTGGCGACAGTTTCACAGATCGCAGCCCCCCAGGGATGGCGAGGTCTAATTTGAATCTGCGCGTGCCCTCACTGTGCTGGGCCCCCCAGCAGGCCTCGAAAGTGGCGACAGTTTCACAGATCGCAGCCCCCCAGGGATGGCGAGGTCTAATTTGAATCTGCGCGTGGCCCTCACTGTGCTGGGCCCCCCAGCAGGCCTCGAAAATGGCGACAGTTTCACAGATCGCAGCCCCCCCAGGGATGGCGAGGTCTAATTTGAATCCGCGCGTGGCCCTCACTGTGCTGGGCCCCCCAGCAGGCCTC